GATAATTGACGACAAATTTGTAATGGTAAAATATCTTTTTGTGTGTAAGTTGGTATGGTCAGTAGACGTGTATAAGAAACCAAGTTTGCAGGAAAACGAGTTCTCTTTCAGATCATTCGTTCAAGTTTGATAAAGAAAAAAAATCTTTTAAACCATTAACCTATTAGCGGATACTTAACGCTTTTATTTCGTACTAAAGTAGGAACTTAGGAAGTAAATATGAAACTGCTGAAACTATGACGTCTGTAGTTCATAATACAATTTGTGCTTCTTTTTGACCGATTTTAAACAATAATTAGTAATACACGATTACACGGTTTTCTACCAATGCATTTCCCCCTTTCCTGATTCTTCGAAGTTGATGCAATCATTGTTGCATGCGTGTAACAGATATGCGTAAAGCGGTCGTTCTAACAGTTAGAAAATGGGAAAAACTTTTAAATCGATGTAATTGATAAACATAATGCCTATTCGAACGAAAAGGTCAAAACAACGTAATACTCCCTGGATGAAATCGAACATATGTAAGCTGATGAAAGATTGAGACAAAATCAAGCATAAAGCTTTCAGGACTAAGAATGGGGATGATGTCACAATACAGAAATCTTCGTAATAAACTTACATTTGAAATTCGAAAGGCGAAACGCAAATATTTTACTAATAAATTTTCAAGTGTAAATACTGATCCAAGAAAAACATGGAAAATTTTAAAATCAGTAATTTCTGTTAAAAAATGTGATTCTACAATTGGTGATACGAATGAAAGTGTTAAATTAGCGGAAGAGTTTAACTTGTATTTTGCAAGTATTGGTACAATTTTAGCCGATCAAATTCAACCAGTTCACTATTCACATGAAAATAACGCAACACTGGATAGCACTTTTCGCTTTATGTCCATAACTGAAACTGACACATTGAACTTAATAAAAAATTGAAAAATAAAAAATCGATTGGTCTTGATGGAATATCATTATTTATCTTGAAATTAAGCGCCATTGAAATTGGTCCCACCCTCACTTACTTATTCAACAAATCAATGAAAACTGGAAAATTCCCGAATCCTTGGAAAACGGCTAAGATTGTGCCTATACATAAGAATGGTGCTTTCAGGCCAATTTCGATATTGCCCTGTGTGTCTAAAATTTTAATACGAGTTGTACAACACCAGTTATTAGATTACTTGCATAAAAATGATATTTTATGTAGAGAACAGTCTGGATTCAGACCTAAGCATTCGACAACATCTACCCTAATACAGGTCAAAGATGATTGGCTTCAGGCCATGGACGATTCTAAATACAAAGGTACTATATTTATCGACCTGCGAAAAGCTTTCGACACTGTCGACCAGTGGCGGGCCCCCGGCCCCCCCCCCCCCCCCTGGGAAAAAAGGGGGGAAAAAAGAAGGGAAAAAAAGAAGGGAAAAAAAAAAGGAGGAAAAAAAAAGGAGGAAAAAAAGAGAGAGAAAGAGAGAAGGAAAAGAAGGGAAAGAGGAGAGAAAGGGAAAGAAAGAAGAGGAAGAAGAAAAGAAAAGGGGGAAGAAATGATGGGGGCGAAAGAGCCTCGCCTCCCAGGCTGTCGCCTCCCCCTCCCCCAATAACAAAAATAAGAGAGAAGGAAGGAAATAGAAAAAGGGGGTATCAGTTTTGGATCGGGGTGGGGGTGGGGCAAAATGCCCTTGCCTCCCCCCGCCCCACTAAAAAAAGAGAGAAAGAAGGAAAAGGAAAAAAGAAGAGCTAAAAGGGACCGGGAAAAAAAGGTGAAAAGAAGGGGAAATAGATCATTTGCAGTTAATCCCGCCAACGTGTGAAGAAGGGTGGGGGCCGAAATGACCTTGCCTCACCCTCCCACCCCCCCCCCCCCATCAAACCTAAAAAAGAGAAAGAATTAGGGGAGATCAGTTGCGATTTTTCCGCCAACAAAGCGTAGATCCGGGGGGGCGGGGCACTGGCGTATTGATCGGGGAGGGGGCTCGGGAGAAATAACATTTAAACGTGGTTTATTTCTAATTCCATAACGGTGGTTTACACATAATGCTGAAATGACATAATTTTCCGAGATTTTTCCTCATTCTTTAGTAATTTCTACTTTTGTATGCGTTTGTAAATTAACAGCCAGGCAAGAAATATGCTTCTTGAGATGCCAAATGTCAGGGCCCGTGGAACGGCGGGGATCGGGAGCTTCTAGCCCCCCCCCCCCCCCCAATTTTTTTTCGAAAAGCATTTTAAAGAGAAATAGAAAGAAAGAGAGCAAGAAAGAAAAAATAGTTAACTACCAGTGTCACAACAAAATAAGGTATCAAAAATTGCTCATCTGACCGTAATTAAACGCCTAAAACCCCTGAGCTTCTGGGGGCTCCGCCCGCTGGACCTCACGCTAATCAGTATCCTGCCAGTGTCACAAATAAAGTATAAAAATATGTTCATCTGACCGTAATCAAATGCCTAAACCCCTGAGTTTCCGGGGGCTCTGCCCCTGGACCCCTCCGGATGCTAATCTGACGGTAATGTAATGCCTAAAACCCCTGAGATTCTGGGGGCTCCGCCCGCTGGACCTCACGTCAATCAGTGTCCTGCCAGTGTCACAAATAAGGTATAAAAATATGTTCATCTGACCGTAATCAAATGCCTGAAACCCCTGAGATTCAGGGGTTTCCACACCCTCGACCCCACCAGGGGCCCTGAGGCGGGCCCCTAAATGCTTATCTGACCGTAATTTGCCTTCAACCCATAAGTTTCCGGGGGCGGACAAGGTATCAAAAGATGTTCATATGACCGCAGGCGCGTAGCCACGGGGGACAAAAAAAAAAAAACGTTGGCCAAAAAAAGAGAGGAGAGAAAAGGAAAAGGACGTATGAAGAAAAAGGAGCAGACAAAAAACATTTTTAAAATTGAGACAAGGATTAAAAGTCGAAAACGGTGCAACGAATTGTCTTCTTTCTCTAATGATTTAATGAAACGTAAAAGCTTCCGCGCTTCGCGCGGGAGGGGGAAAACTGTATTCAGACGAGGAATATTTTCGAGAACGCTTCAACAAATAGTCTTGTTTCTCTAATAATTAAATAATATGTCAAAGCTTCCGCGCTTCGCGCAAGGAGGTGGGGTAACTGAATTTTGACAAGGATTAAGAGTCGAGAACGGTACAACGAATCGTCTTCTTTCTCTAATGATTTAATGAAACGTAAAAGCTTCCGGGAGGGGGGTGGGGAAAATGAATTCAGACGAGCAGGCGCGTACACAGGGGGGGGGGGTTGAACCCCCCCCCCTTCGGTTTTTATTTATGTGTGTATTTTGGAGCAAACCCCCCCCCCCCCCTTTTGTGAAGTTTTTTTTGTTTTAATTATTTTTTTTTATAAATTTAATGGCTGACCTAAAAAAGATGACCTCACCCCTCCCCCCCCCCCTCCCCCAACGGAACAAAATGTCAAATTTTCAAATTTCGAGACAAAAAAAAAAGTGTCCTCTTACCCCCCTCCCCCCTTTGCCAATGGCTGACCTAAAAAAGGTGACCTCACCCCCCCCCCCCCCCCAACGGAACAAAATGTCAAATTTGCTAGTGCAATCCATGACAGAGCCAGTGGCAAAAAATCGTAGGGCAACAAAAACTTGCAAACTTGAGGGTAATGCACAGTTCCTCCGCGTTCTATGGGTGATCCTTCCGGAAAACTGGTTAATAAGGCATCCCTGCCTGCTGAACCTATACAACTTGAACATTTGTTCGTCGTCATATAGGTCCAAGGAATGCCTCCGGTCCCGAAAAACCCTCTCTCTCCTAAGAGCTGCGGAGTGCTGTATTGTAAAGCTGCGAATACTCGCACTGTTGACAACTACCCGACAAATATTCAGCCGAAAAAATCATATCGCCACTAATCTTGGTGCCAATATATGCTACCTCACCTGGCACTGTCCAGGCCGACGCTTACCTGTGCCATGGAGAGCGCCGGCCGCCGGCATGGTACCGTCGGTAAAAATGTTTCCAAGCTCAATCACTGTCAAACTCACCACTCAAAAACTGGGACCAAATGTCCGGATTTATGTTTGGACTCAAAGGAAAATGGATTATTCTGCCATCTTTGGTTTTTAAAACAGCATTGTTTACTGTTATTATTATTATTAAATCTGCGCCTTCAACTGCAACTCGCAACTGCAAGTAAAATTGCGTGAGTTTTCGGAAACGGATGTGGGATACTGCTCCCGTAGTATGGTGGTGGCAACAACAAAAAAATTCAAAAAATTATTATTTTTGTTTTCACATATGGCGTCCGAATATATTAGAGTATTCGAGTATTCGCCTGTAAGCCTGGGAGTGTACTCGAGTACCTCATTACATGCAGTATGGCAGCCATCTTGGAATGAAAGCTTACCGTAATTGATTGATGGTAGTTAACGTTTACGAAACAATCATAGCTGTAGTAAAGTTACCGCTGTTTCTAAAGTGCTTACCGCTAAAAAAAACTGCGTTAACTCTTTATGCAATAGAAAGTTAACGCTAACATTAAATTCAATGCTGTTTCTGGACATACCACTAAATCAGGGGCTTAACGCTACGTTAAAAGTTTTATGCAACGGGGCCCTGGTCTGTCTAAGTCTTAACATTCCATAGGATTCCTAAAGTCCTTTCAGTTGGGAGATCATCTAGCCCAAGGTCGAGTAAGACGCAGCTCTTTCTGACTCTGGAATAGTTTTCAGCATACACTTCGGGATTGTTACTGATCCATTTTGTCAGCAAGGTTCCGAAATCATCAAAATGATAAGAAATTTGGCCCAGTCTTGGTTTAGTTACAAGCACATGTACACAGAATGTATGGGATTACGCGATATCTATCCATGCAGTCCGGATAGATATAACAATATTTACCAAATATATCAATTAGTAGGCGGTTTCCCGGCAAAATTTGTATCCTCATGTATTAGTCAAAACATATTCTTTCATGTGATTTTTTGAGAGGGGGGCGTTTCCAAAACTGGTCTATACCTTTAACTGTCCCACATTCTTGATCGATGGCTACCACATTAATGATACCTCATGTCTTTCCTTCTCATTTCGAATACACAGTTGTGCCTGTTGCGCCTTTTGGATCAGACACCCTCGGCAGAGAATTCGTGTTCGCCATCCCGTCAAAGGTATTTTTTGACCCCTCTGAGCCTAATATTGGCATCATTGTGGGGGCCACTTCAACCAACGTCACTTCCGTTGTGGTCAATATGCCGTTGAGGAGTGTGGAATACAACTTCACCCTTGAACCCGGATCAGCACCCTATGATCTTATGCTTTCTCCTGACCTTGCCACGACTAGTGGGGCAGCAAGGGTAACAAACGATACGATTGTGGTGAGGTCCGATCAAGATGTCTCTGTGACGGCTTACAATATCGGGCCCTTCTCTAGCACAATGTTCACTGTGTTACCGACCAAGCATACGGGCAGGGAATACTTTATCGCGACCATTACGCGACCACGGGGGGGTGTTGTTCTAATTTCTGCATTTAACGAACTGACTAAAGTTACAATAGAATTGACCGGTAAAGTTGTAATTCGTGGTCAACATTATTCACCGGGAAGTGTTATTATGTTTAATTTGATACCGTATGAAACATTACAATTCGAACCACAGGGTGAAGATATGATTGGAACAAGAATTACCGCCGATACGTCGATCGCAGTGATTAACGGTGGCATTTGTTCAAGTATTCCTGCAGGCACTTCGTCTTGCGATCTCATGTCCGAACAGCTAGTTTCATTTGATCGCTGGGGACGTTCATTTTTACTAAGCCCGTTCTTCAATCGACTGTCCGGATACCAATTCCATGTTGTTGCCGGGAGAAACAATACAACGGTAACATTGGGGACTGAGGAAATAAACTTGAACATGGGGGAGCCTTATCTAGGAGATGTGGCCGATCAGAGCATGATTTCAATATCAGCGACCAAACCAATCATGGTGATGCAGTACTCGAAAGGTAAATCCACAGACGGTAAGCTGGGGGATCCAGCCATGCTGTTAGTCACTCCTTGGGAGCAATATGTATCGCGTGTGGAATTTCCTGTGTTTGACTTCTCTGCAGCAGGGATGATCTCCACAGTCTCTATCGGTGTGATATCTGAATGCAATGCGACTCATAACATCGAGTTTGGCAACGAGGTAACTAAGATGTTTATTCCCTTTTTAGTTCAATTCTACATTGTCTCTGCAGAGTGCAGAGGAACATGAAAGTATATACTCATAGACTACTGACTAGTCTAGATCTAGTCCGTCCCTTGTCCAAAACTTTCATGACTACCAAAGTACCAATCCAGGCACACCAACGAGACCAAAACACACCAGACGTATAGACTTTACTTTACAAAGAATTTTTTAAAATATTTTTTTAATTTTTTATTTAGTCTAGATATAGGTCTATTGTTTTATTTTTCCAAATTATTACATTTGTTTTTACTTCAAATACGATTACAAATACAATTCATGTACAGTAACATTAAAAGATAAGATTTTTAAAAAGCAGAAGTTTGTGGGATGAAAAGTTCCTTCAGCTCACGTACCACTGGCACCTCTACCACCAGTGCTCAATAATCAAACTGTATGTAAATGAAAAGTAAGACAAATATTATAAGGTTACACTTACATTGTACAAAAGTCATGAATCACCAATGATAAATCACCACACACACCTGAGCAGTGGCGTACGCAGGATTTTTTCAAGGGGGGGGGGGGTTTAAAATCGGGTCCAAAATTTCGCAACGACTCAGGAAATAAGCGGACATTTTTTTTTTTTTTTTGTCTCAAAAAAATTGCAACGACTCAACCGACCGCGGGGGGGGGGGGGGGGGGGGGGGGGGGGGGGGGGGGGGGGGGGGGGTAAGAGGACACTTTTTTCTTTTTTTTTGTCTCAAAATTTGAAAAATTGACATTTTGCTCCGTTGGGGAGGGGGGTAAGGTCACCTTTCTTAGGTCAGCCATGGGGGTGGGTTTTTTTTTTTTTTTTTTTTTTTTTTTTTTTTAATAATTTAAAAAAAAAAAAAAAAAAAAAAAAAAAAAAAGGGGGGGGGGGGGGGGGGGGGGGGGGGGGGGTGGGGGGGTTTGGGGATTTTTTAGGGGGGTTTACACACATAAAATATCAAAGGGGGGGTTAACCCCCCAAACACCCCCCCCCCCCCCCTGCGTACGCGCCTGCACCTAATCGAGTATACAATCAATCACACAGGGAGGGGGGGGGGGTCAGGATGTGGGGCCCATCAGTTGTGACTGGTGCAAGTCGGTCCCTAGCTTACTCACACATGCATATACACGTAAGCAGGTAAAGTGACAAAAGACTGACCTGGACCAGCCACAAAAGAGTGACAGGCCTTTGGAACAAATACATGGCCACGCATCGGTCTGTTGGAGTAGATTCGGCGGTGTGACTGAGTCACTGAGGTATTACAACCGGTACTACCCAGATTCCATTTCCTCGTTATATGATCAAGTATTACGTGTTAATTGCTCGTACAAATTTCCTCCTCCCTTTATTTTTGTAAAAATTTCCTTTAAAGCATCTTTTTATCCAGTCCCCATGTTTGCTCCTTTTCTACCTATAAATTTCTATTAAAAAGCGACAATAAAAAACTGAAGATTGTTTCACCCTTGTAATCTATCCCGTGTGGGTGTCTTTCATATATTTACTCATCCCAAAGGTACCGCCCAGCGCTGAGTACAGTCTCATCACCAGCGACAACCGACAGATGTGTAGTCGTTGGGTGACCATAGAGGAAGGTAGTCACGTGCTGGAAAGCCAATCAGCTACACAAGGAACAGGTGCAGAAGAGACATTGTTCACCGCTCTGGTTTACGGAGTTGGAAGGTATACCACCGCTTACCTGTACAATGCAGGTTCTGGTCTGCAGCTACAAACGTGCACCACTCCAAGCTCTGACCCGCCATACAATGAGATTGAAGTGTCGTGTGCAACTCAGCGAAGAGGTAGGTCACGATGCCTTAAAGGCCAAGTCCACTCCAAAAATAACTTACTTTCAATAGAAGCAGAAAAATCAGACAAACCAATAAAAAAAGTTTGAGCAAAATTGAATATCTAATAAGAAAGTTATGAATTTTTAAGAAAGTCTGTAAAACTATGGAACAATGGAAATAAGAAGACAAATTGGAAATTCACTCATGAGTCTTTGACGTCATGTCCTCACTATCCACTAATTGTTTTCGTTATATTGATAATATCAATCTCCTATTTACCCCTAAGAATCTTATTTCTTCACATCAGCATCCAAGTTAGATTGATAGTAATATGTTTCTGTGTGGATGCATTAATTTAAAGTAAATTTTTTCAGTTAAATCATGAAAAAGGTGACTTTTGATAAAGTACTCACAGATAAAAATCAATAATTATGAATTTACAATATTCAGAAAATAGTATCAATTCTGCAAAGTTCATAAAAGATTTTGTCCAATGTCATTCATGCATGCACGCACGCAATATGATACAAATCATATAACCTGGGCAAAGGCATGAGTAAATCAAGTTTTGGGGATAAAAAGAGAAATTAATGGGATAATGACGTCACAAACTGATTACCAAATTGGCAATTTGTGTAGTGATTTTCATTGTTCTATAGTTTTACATACTTTTTCAAAATTTCATAACTTTCTTAGTAGTGATCCGATTTTGCTAAAACTTTTTTTTTGATTGGTTTGTCTGATTTTTCTTTAGTAATTGATGACACCTAAATAGCAGTACAATACAATTTTTAACTTACCGATGTTAGAAAGAATAATTTAAAAATTCAAATTGTAACCGGAAGTCTACTGTCATACTTGCCGATCAGCCAAATTGGCCAGATTGTGTGCATTTGTGTATAATGAGTGTACGGTATTGACTATTCATGTATTCAAATGCTACGTAGTGCAATGCTAGAGGTCAATACGCATTAGCATTGACTCTCTATGCTTAGCTGGAGTGTACTTACCATACCTTGATTTCTTTATCCTTATATGCCCATGCATTACTCAGCCAGTAGTCTCGAGTCTATACATTTTCTACCAAAATTGTTCGGCAAATGACATTTATTTGTTATCTTGAACATTTAGTGTAAGTTTTGTTTGATCCTATGAGAATTAGTTTTCTTTTTTTTTAACGAGAATTCAAGTTTATCTTTAACTAAGGGTTGTCTCCGATTTGTTTCAGTTGGAGCGATCTGTGATGAGCAAGGCTCCTGCACATGCCCAGCAGGATCTGCTGGCTTTCTGTGTCAGAAAAAGTGTAAGTAATAATAATGAACGTTATTTGTATAGCGCATATCACTAACACAAAGAAAGTCCCTATGCGCTTAGAAAAGAAGGAAAAGGGCGGAATAGAAATGAACATATTTTATGCCTCATACATGAAAATAATTGATTACAACAATAATGATACACAATTCCTATTTAGCTTACATGACTGTAATAGGGTAATTTAGGTATACAAATTTAAACATGAAAATTAAATGAAAATTAAATTAAATATTAAATATGTACATGATACTATAACCAAAGAAGTCACTAAACAGCTGGAACAAAATGAACAATTTACAAAAAGATAGGTCTTCAACAGAGTCTTAAATGATTTTGTTGTGCTTGCCTGTTTGACAATATCAGGCAAGCTGTTCCACAATTCGGCCGAAGAATTTTTGAAAGAGCGAGTGCCATAATATTTTGTTTGAGTGCTTGGAGCTACCAGGAGGGATTTACTATTTGATCTTAATGTTCTTGTAGGGGTATATTGTAGAATGAGATCTTGGAGGTAAGACGGGGCTGTACCGTTGAGGCATTGATATGTCAGTAAAAGGATCTTATAATTAATACGGGACTTAACTGGCAGCCAGTGCAGTTGTTTAAGTATGGGTGTTATATGTTCTCTGCGTATCTTGGAATATTTTTTTTTAGTACGTACGTTGGACGAATTCCTGTCCCATCATGATTTAGCCAGGATGTTTGAACAACCCGAATGCATGAACACACACGCACCCACACACCCAAACACACCCTAATCACTGCAATCTTTGCTTCTGACACCTGAGATAAAATAAAAAGGGTGAAGTAGGCCTAATTGACATTTTCTTTGCTCTTGACAATTTTCTTATACCAGTGACATCTGTTGTGTGTGGAAGTACTTCAATGACCATCACCATAGCTAAACAGCTAGTCCCAGGTGACGCAGGTGCTGTTCATTTTCGAAACCATTCCTGCTCCGGTTTAAACAGCTCGACTAGCACTCATGAGATCACTCTCACTACAGAATACGATCAATGTGGCACCACCTTTGAGGTATGACTCCTTAAATGATAACCGGTATGAATCACTCTTGTTACCATGGCTACCAATACCATTGGGCGTGTGCAGGATTTGTGAAGAGGGGGCTTAAACATAATAATAATAATAATAATATAATAGCTAGTTCTTATATAGCGCTTTTCAGGACCGGAGGCCCTCTCAAAGCGCTTTACAGATGTATATAGTATTACCCCGGTCATAGGATTCAGGCTTACCCGCACACAATGTATGCACATTCTCCACTCCCTGGGGAGCATTCCAGCCAGGCGTCTTTTTTACAAGCGCACACTTGCTAATCTAACCACATTAGCTTTCGCATCCTACCGGGTACCCATTTAACACCTGGGTGGAGAGTGGCAAATGTAGATCAATGTCTTGCCAAAGGACATTAGTGCCGCGGTGGGACTTGAACCGCGAACCTTGTGATCCACAGTCCGGTGACATATCCACTCGTCCACGACACCTCTATAATGTTTGGCTCGATCCAGTGGAGCGCAGCCCCTTACTGTGTGGGGTCCAGGGGCAGAGCCTTAATATGTTTGATTTAAAGTTCGCTGCGACGGGCATGACATGCTGGCTTGAATACAATCTGTTTACCTTCATTCCAAATAATGATTTGATATTTTTATAAGTACTGATAGTCAGCGTCCCGAAATCCATCTTGCTCTTCATCCGATTCCACCGTGTTGTTGACGTTTTTGTGTCTTTTCATCTTCTTAAACTTAGGAAATGTCATATAACACGGTAATAATAATGGTATTTGAAATCTTATTCCTCAACAATGGCACTTGACATTAAATCAATCGAGAAAATGAAATTGAAGCACACAGAAGTAAAAAAAAAAAAAAAAAATTCTCCATTTATATGAGCAGTACTTCATCTCATGGGCAGATGCAAATAATAAAGGGATTTATTATCAACGATGTACATGTTTATTTTCATAAAATTGACATGATTTACTTGCCTTTGCTAATTTTATGAAACAACAACTGGCAACGTATTTTTACTCCTTTTTTAATTTCGGGCATATTAATTTTAGGTCCTATTCGATCAATCTTGATTTTGTCATCTTTATAATCTTTTCTATATTTTCAAGAAATCCCTATGTTTTTATTACAGAAGTTGTATTAGCACTGATGAACGCACAATACCTACATGTATATACAAATTTGAATAAAATCGAGTTTCAATTCTAACTCGATCTATCCATATTATTGTGTTTACATAATATACTGCACTTGTCATTTAATATGCATTATACAACAATGTTTTCACGTCCAAGTCCCGGATTGCCAGTCTAAAATCCTATCTATTTTGCCAACAGATATTTATTTATTGTTCGTACAGAGTAATACACACTTATTTCATATGAAATAACATTCAAAAATGGCAAGCGACGGCTGTCGCTAGGTGGTGGGAGGGGGGGGGATGTCGGCTTTCATCATCATTGACTTTTAGGTATCTGGGCAAATGTGCCCCCGAACGTTTTTATGCGTGGGATGCTAATTAAGACCCTTTTCTTCAATGAAACTGCCTGTTATGTCTTGAAGGATGGTGCGTGATTCTCAATGTATTCACCTAGAAATCATTGGTCTCTAAGGAGCATTCGTCTTTCCTTTCCCTTTTTTTTGGGGGGGGGGGGCGTGAGAGGGGCTTCAGCCCCCGAAGCCCCCTTCCCCCAGACACTCGTAATCACAGTTACAATGTATACATTAGTTTTTTATCGAACTCGATACTGGATTTTTTTTTGTGGTAATAACACTATTTTATTTGTTATTACTTGGTGTCATTACAGGAGGATAACACAACTATTACCTTCACCAATGACATCACATACGCCAAGCCGGGTTCGGACGACGACACAGTCATCACCCGTAAATATCACATGCAGGTTCGGGTTCAATGTTGCCTCCAGAAAGAGGAGATCGTCAGTGGGTCCTACAAACCTCAGCTTGGTGAGGTAGAATTTAACGACAAGGGCTCTGGTGTCTTCAGTCTGAGACTAGATAGGTTCCTGACAGATACTTTTGATAATCTGGAAGAGGACACCACCTCCTTTGTCTTGAAAGGAGAGGACCTCTTCTTTGGAGTGGGTCTCAATTCAGTATCAGAAGTTGGTATGTTTATTGATAACTGCTGGGCGACAACCACTGAAGACTCGGATGCCCTTCCACAATACTCTCTAATTTCTTCAGGGTTAGTAGAACTTTTCATGAGCCTCAAGAAAAAAAAACATAGTGATGGTTAAATGGTTCATTCACTTGAATCTAAATCCCAGGGTTAGGGGTTCTAATCTAAGTCCGACACTAAGGTATTTTGGCAAACATTAATCCACATTTGCCATCCTCCACCCAGGTGTTCATGTCCCTTTTGCAGCCAACAACAATTATGTAGTTCTTTGCAGGAATTACGAATATCTCATGTACCGGTATGTCCTTTCTGTGAAATTTAGCAGTGTCCTAGTATTGAAATTATGCAAGGAAACCCGTTTATCTTCTAGACTTCACTGTCAGACACTGATGAGTGATTGACTGACATCTTTTTTCCTTTGGTAATAACATAAAATGAGTTGTAACAGGTACATAAGCATTTGTCTACATCAATAACCCATATTTGTAAAGGCCAAAATTAAACTGATTGAATCTTTGTGCAGCACAAAACGTACAACCATTCAGTAAAAGGGTCTGGAAATCAAACTATTACTGAGCTGATTGTAATCACTAAGGTCGATTCGACATCTAATGGTCGTTATTTTCCCACTAAAAGCCATTTCCAATTAAGCCCTTTAGTTTTGAGGGAAGTTCTAAATTACTATTGTCTTTCAAAAGCCGTTGGAATTTAACCTTTTCTTCTTTTTTTGGCCTGCAAATGGGACATAGTACCTTTAATGGGCAACCGGTTTACTGCTGGGTTGATAATAATGTAGAGGCCCCGAGGAAGATCAGCAGTGATGCTGATGAGGCTTCTCGGCTTGCTTCGTTCCATCGGGTCGGGCTGTCGGGTTCCACAAATTTTCATGAAAACGTAACCTCATAATCACGATTCACGAAAGGTTGGATGCTTCGTGTAGTCGGGTAACACAATATTTTGTCAAAAGATCCCCCAATATTTACTCAAGGTCGGGTAAATTCAATGCAAATAACCATATGTTTTCAGATACTACTACTACTACTGTCCAGCCATGTCTTGGTGATACAGACGATATTAGGCTTGGAATGGAAGTATTAAAAACACCTCCAGTTCCTAGAATTTTGCTTCTCAGGCTTCTCGCACATGCGTGTCGATCCCCGGGGGGGGGGGGATGGCCTGTACAATCATCCCCCTCAATAATTCACCATCACAAAAAAAAAAATGTAGAGAAAAATTAATGATGAGAGCCCGATGAGAGTAGTTAATGGTTATTACTCGCAAGATGACCATCCATATACACATTTTGCTATCTCATTTTCATAATACATACTTATTATACATAGAAAACGAAGTAAATGAGACAACCGTATATGAGACAAAAATAATTGAATTCTCGCTCATACAGCTTCAAAAGGAATTGATGGATTTATTCAATTTATTCAATCAACAGCATCATAGAAATGCAGTGCGCCAAATGCAAAGCCGCAGCATTAAAAAGCAACAAGCTAAATTTTTAGCGCAAAGCGCAAAAAAGAAGTAGAGAGTGGGAGAAACGCCCCCTTCTTTTTTGTTATGTGTATGTTTTGGGGGAAACCCCACCCCCCCTTTTTATTTTTTTTTAATTAATTTTTTTTATAACAAATGCTAATGGATGACCTAAAAAAGATGACCTTACCCCCCCCCCCCCAATGGAACGGAATGTCAATCGGTCAAATTTTCAAATTTCGGGACCCCCCCCCCCCCCCCCCCCCCCCAAAAAAAAAAAAAAAAAAAAAAAAAAAATGTCCTTTTTACCCCCCCCCCCCCCCCCCTGCTTATTCAGCGGTTGGCTGAGTCGTTGCAAAATTTTTGGGACCAAAAAGAAGAAACAAAATATGTCCCCCCCCCCCCAGTTTTAGGATTCAGAAGACATGATCCATTTTGAATATGCCACGAAAAGTGTGATATTTGTACAATATTTGATGAGTTAAAAGGGATATAGTAACCGAGTCTCATTTTGGATCCAGTGATATGACACTTTACTAAAAATTCGACCACATTCCTTAGGCAGTTTCTGCAGTTTTCATATACACGCCTTTTGTTATGTGTGTGCGCCATATGGCAAGTTATAGGCCCTATATTCATGTGTTTAACATTTTGTTAGCTGAGAGAGTTTACAAATGAGAATGAACATGTACATATAGTGCAAATGTCATGGTAATGAAGCCTACATTATTTGAAAACTGAGCACAAAAAAAAGCTTCTCAAAGACCCCAAAGAAACTAAACACAATACATTTTTTGAAATTGAATGCACTAGCTTATTTCAAACATGCTTGCTCGTTCACGAATTTGAATGACCATGGGAGTCTGTAGCTGGCATTAAATGAATTTGAATGCTCTTTGCACGAAATGTACGCTATTATTAGTTAATATTTGAATGACCCGATTCGACAATTGAATGCATGGATAGTGAATTTGAATGACGGATTTTTAATTTGAAAGCTGATTCAACGCTGCGAGTGCGAATTGCGCGAATTCAAATGCTCGGAATATAAACTTTAATGAAAAAAAGTGTGAAATTGCCCGCAAAAACCTATATTACTATTCATGTTCCTCTTCTTCTTCTTCAACGATATTTGATGATTCCCTAGCCGTTCTTCAACCACTATGACTCCTCCTAACTCAAGTACATTGTTTTCAATTTGTTCAACAGTTGCCCAGCTGCAGAAACAGTTGCTATCAATCATCTCCTTGGATTGGATCGAGAAGGCTTTTCTTTTAAGGCATTTGCCTTTGTTGGAGATTACACTGAGGTAAAATATTTAATTGGCATGGAACTTATATACCTAATTGCAGTGGCGGATCCAGGGGGGGGGGTTGGGGGGTTGCAACCCCCCCCTTGGGCGGCCCCAAAAAAAAAAAAAAAAAAAAAGGAAAAAAAGAAGAAAAAAAAAAGAAAAAAAGAAAGAAAAAAGAACGCACGCTGGAGAGAAACCCTTTCAAGTGCAAATATTGTGAAAAGATATTCAACTCATCTGGTAACTTAACCAAACACATGATAACTCTGGATATAACTATGTATTAAACTGTTACTTGATTTAAAAAGACGTTATCATGCACTGCTTTTTATGGTCTCCATTGTGTTAATAGATGCCAGGAAAACATCACTTACGGGGTTCAAATAAACACCCCCCAAAAAATCGGCTCGCCGCTTCGCGGCTCGTGGACGATGCTCCGCATCGTCATTATTTTGGTCAACCCCCCCCTTAGCAAAAAGCTAGATCCGCCCCTGAATTGTATTACAACTTTGTTTGCCCATTTCATGAGTATATTTCAAGAAAGAAAAAAACTGTAGAATCTCGCTCTTAGTTATTCATGTCTGCCCTGTCTCTTTGGGTTTAGTAATTACCTTAGTGTAAATGAATGGTAACTGCGTGCAACCAAGGTCTTGAACACATTCACTGAGCTCTATGGTATAAGATACAGAAACCTAAATCGTATTACACTTTATGTCATTTTTTTTTAAAGTGCATATTTCAACAAGACTTTTTCAATTTTTTTTTCTTTGATCACAATTGCCCACTTTGAAGGGGAAGTCCACCCTGATATTAAGTTGGTTTTAATAAAAGCAGAAAATGAGAAAAACAAATTAATGAAAATTTGAACAATAATCGGTTAAAAATAGGAAAGTTGTAAAAAAAAAAGTTTTCATCAGTGAAACACAAAAGTGCAACACTGTAAGGCACCTTGCAAGCTCCTTTCCATTTTGCTTTATACATAGAATTTCATAAAACTTTCATTTTCTTAGTTGTTGATGACAAAATAGATATGTTTCAAACAGGGTTTATATTAAAAAAAACATATTTGCAATAATTATATTTAGGGTGAATGTAAGGTTGAGAATTTCGGAAGATAAATATAGATTTCAGAAGTTTTTTAGTACAGGGCAAATGGGAGGGGACCTCAAAGATACGTCACAGAGAATCCAACTTATTTCTGATTGATGGTACCTTCAAAAGTTCATAACTTCCTTATTTTTCATTGGGTATTAGTTAAAACTTTCACTGGCCTGTTTCTTTCATGCTTCTATCAAAACCAAATTAATATTGGGGCGGACTTCCCCTTTAAAAAGTAGGGAAACTTTAAAAGAACATGTATTTGGTTGTTTAGATATTACTTTAAGAATGCATTGTAATGCATGCATAATCATATCTATTCCTCAGGTGTACATTCACTGTTCAGTGAAGGTCTGTGGTGCCGCGAATGCCCAATCGTTTCGAGACGCAGGATGCCCCTCGGAATCTCCACCTCCCGACCGCAAACGTCGATCCGTTATGTCCACTCAGACAATCAGTAATGGTCCGATTCATATCCGTCGCTCAACCAACGATATGGCTACTAATGGTATGTGCTATTTTGTAACAACAATCATTTAAAAAACCTAGATAAGGAACATTTTCCTCATAGATAACTATAAAGCGCACTCAGTTATGATGATCCTAAACAGGACAAAATAAGGATTTGAATATCTGTAAAATCAGCAGATGCTTACTTCAATTTCTACTAAAAGGTGGAGGGGATCATTTCCTATTCCCATGGATACGCATGCGAATATATCTAATCCACATTCATTTGTTCTATCATATTTGTTATTTGTCAATGACCACAGATCTGTCTTCCTACAACCCATTTGTGATGCTCCTCCTTGGAATGATAGCAACATTGGTTGCTATGGCGATCCTGATGGGTGTGGTCAAGCTTGTTCGTACCTCGACTGATATCAAATATCAACGGGTTCCTGTTAAATCGATGGAATGAAATTCGAAGTGATAACCATGCACTCCAAAAAGGGCCATAGAATGGAAAATATTCTCATTCAAACAGCGCCCTTTACTACACTCAGCAACCGAAAAAAAAGGGGGAAACTCCCTATTGTTAAAATTTTTCATATAAACTGTCACTACTTAAATATAATACAATAATACAACTTTGTCTAGAATATGGTGTCCCTTTAATAAGGCTCTGTAATCTGCTTTCGATGCTTTAAAATGTACCTTCAGCCAGTGGTACACGAATATGATGTCCGAAACCATATTTATACCAACGACATCCAGTTATACTGCGCATGTAATCCGAAGGTTCCCCAAAGCATCCACAATACATTGCGCAAATTACAACAGTGTATGTCTGATGTTCAGTCATGGATGTTGGCTAATACACTGAAACTTAATCAGGACAAGACAGAATTCATGAACGCGGCATCTCCAAAGCACCATCATCAGTTACAGCATGTCCGTCTTAAGATTGATGATCATTATCATCTTCACCACACATGTTCGCAAATTAGGTGTTACCTTTGACAAGCGTATGAACATGTCAGATCATTGTTCAAATTATTCATAATCTGTTAATTTGTACTTACGTAACCTCAGTAGAATAAGGAAGATCATAGATAAAGATTCTTCCCATGTAGTTGTAAGAACTCTTGTTTTAATTGTCTCGTCTAGATTATTGTAATTCACTACTCCGTGGTATGTTGCTTAAAGTCTTAACTCCCTTCAGCTCCTCCAGGACAGCAGCACGGCTCAATCATTGAAAGCAACAATTACCCACGTCTCCCCTCTCATCACTTATCTTCACTGGCTTCACTTATGTATCATACATAAGACTTAAATTCTCACTTACAAGTGTTTCAATAATCAGGCGCAGCATTCCTAGGTGATCTTTTCCGTTCGCACACATCCATGCATAATACACGATCAGCCAGTAGTAAAACACTTACTGACCCTCGAACCAGTAAACTAATAGGTGATAGAGATTTTTCCGTTATGAGCCCCCAAAACCTAGAACTCTTTACCCCCTGTAATTAATAATTGCCATACTCTCACAGTTTTCAAGAAGTGTCTGAAAAACACATCTTTTCTAATTTCCCTTTTCTCGGTAATTAACGTAAGCTCTGTATGATAATGTTGTCTCTTTAAGGTTTGTAAGTATTTTTTGTTCATGTGCTTAGTATCTAATTAAAGCCCCACTGTCCTACTTGTAGCATTCCTCTATATAGAAAACTGACGGTCTTTAAAAGGCGTTTTGTAGATGTTATATTATTATTATTATCATTCAAGAAGTGTCTGAAAACACATCTTTTCTCGGTTTGTAATTAATGTAAGCTTCGTATGATAATGTCTCTTTTTGGTTTGTAGGTATTTTTTGTTCATGCGCTTAGTATCTAATTAAAAGGCGTTTTGTAGATGTATTATTAATATTATTCAAGAAGTGTCTGAAAACACATCTTTTCTTGGTTTGTAATTAATGTAACAGGGACGGATCCAGGGGGAGGGGGCACAGGGGGCACGCCCCCCCCCCCCCGACCCCAAAAATATGTTAAAACCAGCCCTAAATTCGCCAAAAATGCATTGACAAACAGGGACATGCCTCCCCGGCCCAAAAAATTAAATAAAAAAAATAAAAAAAGAAAGAAATATACCAATGGCTGGCCTAAAAAGATGACCTTACCCCCCCCCCCCCAACGGAGCAAAATGTCAAATTAACCCATGTTGTGACCCCCCCCCCCCCCCCCACATCTTTTCTCGATTTGAAATTAATGTAAGCTTCGTATGATAATGTTGTCTCTTTTGGGTTTGGAAGTATTTTTTGTTCATGCGCTTAGTATCTAATTAAAAGGCGTTTTGTAGATGTAATATTATTATTATTTAAGAAGTGTCTGAAAACACATCTTTTATCGGTTTGTAATTAATGTAAGCTTCATATGAAAATGTTGTCTCTTTTTGGTTTCTAAGTATTTTTTGTTCATGTGCTTAGTATCTAATTAAAAGGCGTTTTGTAGATGTAATATTATTATTATTCAAGAAGTGTCTGAAAACACATCTTTTCTCGGTTTTTAATTAATGTAAGCTTCGTATAATAATGTTGTCTCTTTTGGGTTTGTAAGTATTTTATGTTCATGTGCTTAGTATCTAATTAAAAGGTGTTTTGTAGATGTTATATTATTATTATGTTGACTCAACAACAAAACCACAGCAGCCTCATCCAAGAAAATCTTGCTTCCAACGATAATTTCCTTTCTTTTATGGTGGCCCCAAAATTTGAGGTCTTGGTCAACATTGTTTCCAAACAATTTTAATGTGCCACAAATGGGTATTTTTGTATGTCAATCAAATATGTTCGAGAGAGTTTGTTACTTCACATCCAAAACAAATTAGCATTTAAATAATAAGGTTCCCCCCATCAAGTTATGTCATTCACTTTACTCCCTTGGCTTCCAATGATTTTTACTATATCAAATTATGTATGACAACATACACAAAAAATTATATACATGTATCACAAATTTCTAAAAAGTGAAACGCAAAATTAAACAATAACAACGAAAAGCACATTGCAACCAAAATTTCCAATTACATACTGAATCTGAATTTCAGCCTGATTTACAGGGATGCCAGTTTTCAGGCAATATCCTGAAATCAGGCCCTGGTGAGTTACTTTCAGACCATCGTTTAGGCTTTTTCAGTTGTGAACAAAATAGCTCTTTCTAGGTGATTATCAGGCCCCCTGATCAATTCTAACTGGCATCCCTGTGATTTAACATTCTCGTAACCAGAGAGCATATAATATGATCTCGAATTCCCTTGTAATTTTGAGGTTGAAGGCGGAGTATGACACTTCCAAACATGTCCCCTTTATTGAAATGCTATGTGATTTTCATATTAATAAGAATTTGTTACTTGTTTGATTCTTTTGTTCTTCTACGACTATTATGAGTCTCATTTTGTAAGTGGTGGTGGTGGTGGTGGTTGTAATTTTACCTGACTGCTAAGAAAGTATAAATGCTTGTAAGTAAGCAACCAGATGGCCGACGGTTTTAGGTCCTCTCTGAGTGACCTGGTAATGAGGATTAATGCCTTACCAAAGGGCACTAGCGCATCGCCTTGGTTTCAAACCGGGCCACTGGATTACGAGACCACTGCTCTACCGACTGATCTATCACGCCTTAGTTACGTTGCGTACAGTGCGTCCCAGAAAAAAACACCTAAATCCAATATTTATTGTGAACGAACTGTGAGGTTTATAAATATGATTCCTTGCTTTTCATAGAGTAAAAATGATATTCTTTCAAATAATGCATTGATTACATTAATCAACACACGATTCACTGAGCAACATTGATTCGGAAATGACATGTCAAAATCCATTTGTGGCATTTTGGAAAAACTGTGAAAATACAAATAAAAAATAAACCCAGTGAAGATATTCTCGTGTTTTTTGTTTTTTTTTTTTTTTTTTTTTTTTTTTTTTTTTTAATTTTTAGTAATTAAGGCAAAATTAATGCCATATCACAAAATATAAGATCATTGAAATATTATTTTATGTGTGGGTAATACAGAAAGGCATATTTTGGTAATAACATGTAAGTAGGAATGCAATATTATGAACAATATCTGATTTAGAAACACAAAGTGGACATTTGGGTTATAGTTCTAGATCAGATTATGAGTGAAGTTGCATTTTAGTAAAGGGGAGAAATGTATGGTCTAATGCAAACATAACGCAAAAAATAACCAACAGAATATGTAAATTTCCTTTCAGGATGAGTATTCTTTTCAGACACAAAAAGGGGCATATTTTCCATTGCTCGAGGGGTATTTTCTTCTTTTTTTGTGGAAAATACATGCATTTTATTTGAATAAAAAGCAAGGAATCATTTTCATAAGGCTCATATATAGTCCGCTCACAAACGATTGTTTCCAGGATGCTGTTAATTTTGAAGCCATCCTATTAGGCCAAATTAAAAAAAAAAAATATGTTTAACTTCCTGTTTTTTTGAAAAATAGGAAGGAGGAGGCCCTCTTTTTGTTCTTTTTCTTTTTTCTTTCAAAATGGCCGCTCAAAATAGCCGCTTGGTGCATTTCAAGATGGCCGCCGACATTTTTTTTTTTTTTTTAAATCAGAAATAGATCCATTTTAGCAGTGTTTTCATAAGTAAAAAAATTAAAAAAAAAAAAAAATAGGAGGCGGCCCCCAAAAAGGAAGCGGGCGGGGACGCTAAACATGTATTTTTTTAAATGGCCTTATGGTAGATGTTATTTTACTCTAGGTGTTGTGACAATGTTTATGTTATCACTTGTTTATTATTGTTATTACTTCCCTTTCTTGTTTATGTATGTATTGCTTGTAATAATCCTATGTAAAATTTTAATTCATTTATCTTAAAGATAATCTTGAGTCCTGGTTAAAAAAAAAAAAAAAAAAAAAAATTCTCACAGAATCAAACGTAACTTACACTGAATGTTCAAGTTTACAAATAAATGTC